AATTGGCAGCAAAGGTGTATCAGGCTTATGTTCTCATTTAGCAAATTGCAATAATCTCGCATATTTGACACTTTATATGGGGTAAAAATTGATCTATTATAGATTTTGATAATTTTTAATGTATAGCTATCCAAAATTAAAAAGGCATTTAATTCTATTTATTTTGCTTTATTTTCTTCAATATTAAAAAAGTTATAATGAAATTGAAGCAGAAGGTGGATTAGGTTTAGGTAGTGGTTTAGCAAAATGCTCTAATCTCTCTAATTTGACACTTTAGCTTTGGTAAACAGTCTATTTGTTTTGGATTTAAATACTTTTAAGAATAAATTGAATTTAAGACAATTTAATTAACTCTTTTAATTCATTAATTGTTTTATTTTTTTGTTTGAGTTTTTTTTCTTTTTCTTTGTTAATTGAACTTATTTTATTATTTTCAACTTTTTATATTATTTTTAATGGATAAGTTAATTTCTTACTATTTCATTTTTCCTTAAAATTTACTAACTGACTAACTAACTAATTATATATTACTTTATTAATTTTTAAAAAGTGACAATTATTTTTGTGATGTAGGTGTATCATACTTAAGTTCTGAAATTGCAAATTGCACTAATCTCTCATATTTGACACTTAATCTTATGTAAAAATAGTTTATTCCTTTTTGGTTGTGATATTTTTTAATATAAAAACGAATTGAAAACTAGATAACTCTTTTAATTTATTTATTAGCTTTTTATTTGATTAATTTTACTTTTTTTATTTGTCTTATGTTTTTTCTTCTTCTTTCTTTGTTAATTTAGCTCATTTTTTTATTATTAATTTATTCATTTTATATTTTTTCTTTATAGTTTTCTTCTAAATAGGTAATTAATTAAATATTTTTTCTTCAATATCTAAAAAGTAACAATAAATTTAGTGATGAGGGTGCATCAAACTTAGGTTTTGCTTTAGCAAATTGCCCTAATATCACATATTTGGCACTTTCAATTTAGTAAAAACAGTTTTTTTTTTTTGGATTGTGATATTTTTTAATATAAAAATAAATTTAAAACAATAAAACTCAATTAATTTATTTATTAGCTTTGTTTGTTTGTTTGTTTGTTTGATTTTTTTTTCTTTTTTAATTATTCTTGTCCATTTTTTGTTCTTTGTTTGTTAAATACCGTTTTTTAATTCCAAGTTTCAAATTAATTTCTTATTATTACTTCATTTTTTCCTTAAAATTAATTAATTATTATTTTTATTTTTTTATATTTAAAAAGCTACAATGAAATTCGTGCATTTGGTGCATCTTGTTTAGGTTCTGCTTTAGCAAATTGCATAAAACTCTCAAATTTAAAACTTTATCTTAAGTAAAAATAGTTTATTTGTTTGAGATATTTTTTAACATAAAGTGGATTGAAAACGATTTAACTCTTTAAATTTATTTATTAGCTTTTTATTAAATTGATTTTGATCTTTTATCCTAATGCTTTTTTATTAATTGATTGAAAACATAATTTTTAATTCAAAAATTTATTCTATTTAATTTTTTTTAGTAATTTA